GGGACTATTTGTCCTCATGTATAGCGGTCAGATTGACATAACTTAAAGCAAACTTCTGTTTCAATTGTTAATTCAATTTACCCACAATCCATCAGCAGAAATCATGGCAGAGCGGAACAAAATGGCTGCCCGCAGAGATCCAGAACAAGAATTAGAAAAACTAAATATAAATAAAGTGGGCAGAATCATTAAGATACAGGAGGCATAAGGGAGAGAAAACCAAACGAAAAAAAAGTGACATGGTCACTTTAAATGGAATCCTCTTTTATAAGTTATTAAAGGGACACTATAGTCACCCAGACCACTTCAGCTCAATGAGGGAGCCCGGAGCTGGAATAAGGTAAGCTGCTAAAGGGATTTTAACCCCTTCAGCGCCACAGGAGAGGCACCCTACTGTAGGGCACTATAGTGTCAGGAAAACCACTTTCTTTTCCTGACACTATAGTGATCCTTTAATATAGTTACACAAAGGAAGATGACAGCATTGGGCAATTCTCCAGTTAGATTGATGCAGCTATCGCTTCCATTTCCAGACTGAATAAATACTAACGATTTTTCTCTCTCCCATCAATAAAGTTCTTCCAAGGCTTGAATGGACAAATTAATTGCAAGTTCCCCAGTCAATGATGACTCCTGATAATTTGCAGGTCAGCAATATTTCATATTCTAAACCTCTGCACCATTTCAGCAGATAACTGGATACTTGTCTTTGGAAAAAAAAAGTGTTGGTTTAAAAAAATGTTCTATTTAAATGGACCAGTTTTATACACTCGGAGGCTGAAACTTCCCTTAACACAGAACATACTGGGAAAACTGGTGGTCTTTGGTGGGCATTTGAATCAGGCTTACCTGGGGTATCATACATGTGCTTCATATTAAGAAAGCTAAGCCAAGTCTACATACAGATTAGTGAAAGTAGGCTGGCTCGATTTAACGACTCCGCATGTCTAACAGTATTTAGCTTAATCTAAAGTGGAATTGTTTTTAATGGAGGATTAACATCGAGCTTTTCTTTGAGCACATTTTATCACAGAAAAACCTTTTTTTTTGTAATGTAAAGTGACCAAATTAATAACCAGATAATGTAAATCATCAGTTAGATCGTGTAGGAATAAATCTTCTATTGCTGATATTGCCATTAACAGGACCATATGGTAGAAGTGAGCCCTTTATAATGCATTTATACTCTTTGTATAGATGACACCACAAGAGATGGCCGGTCAAAACAGTTTACTATCTCTAAATTCATATCAAGCCCTAGCAGATACTGTTGAAGTATGTTTGCCACAATTCCTTGCAAGCAGTTCTCTGGAAGGTAATTATAAGAATTGTAGTCAAACAAGCCACACAATTATTATATTATAGTGTTGGGAATTCCTAGTGATTTCAAAGAGAATTTAACATTTTAAGCCATTATAAACAAAAGAGAAAAATTTAAATTTGAAACAGCAATGTACTTAATTTTAAATTAACTTTGAATTTCTGACAATCAATAAATATTTTAATATTGCCGCACGTCTACCACCACTGACCCACCGATTTCAGAGTAGCTTTATCACTACAATGATGTCCTATTAATTATAGTTACTTGATCAGTTGGGTTAACATGTTTAAAACTAATTTTATTCAAGGAACCAAGATTCAGAATTTTTACAAGGGCTGCCATTAGAGGATTTCCTTAAGAAGACAATCTCTTTTCTATTCCTGTCTAGTTTGAAGCATCCTGCGAGTTTGCCGTCACATACCGGGATTGGAATTTGCAAAACAGGCGTTTAGCATTACACATACCATTGCAGCTAAAGAAATACTGACAGATTTTATTGTCCAACCCTGCAAGGGAATCGCATCTGCCTCCACTGATAGCGGCCACTAGGAAGTATTTACCATTTTGCAAATTTAACGAAAAGGTGTGTTTTTCAATAACCATAGCAACTCCGCCAGGAAACAATGAAATGTTTGCTATTGAATGCACACTTCACCTGCAACTGGTTGTCCAAGTTACTCTTAAAGGGACACTGTATGCACTGTAACTGCTTCACCTCGTTAAAGTGGTTATAGTGGCTGGAGTCCCCTGTCAACGTCCTTCCATTCAGTATTAAATATTTTTTTTATGTTTTAATGCTAATACGAGAGTCCCCAGTAACCCATGCCCTCTGTAATGAGGAATCATTAAAGGACAAATATAGTGCCAGGAAAACAAAGTTGTGTAGAAAGGGTTAAAAACCTATCACTTCCCTGAGTCCAGCACCGATGTCCACCAGCACTGGTTCGGGCTCCACCTGTGCTCCTTCACCGGCGATGTCAAACGACGGGGAGACTGAATGAACATGCGCAGCAATGGCCGCACTCGCATTAGTATTTCCCCCATAGAAAAGCATGTATAATGCTTTCATATGGGGTTTTACATGGCGCTGAATGTCCTCATGCATAGAGTGAGGACGTCCAGAGTCAGGCGAGACCCGCATGTCCTTCTAGTGACTGTCTGGTAAATCTGATCCATGGAGACCCCACCTTGCAACTTTCAGGACCTAAAGGATCTGCTGCTAATGTGTTGGTGCAAGATACCACAGGATACATATCATATTTACATATTGTTGGACAGCACATGAAAAGGATTGCCCTGTAGTATGAGCCATTTGGAAGAAGGTGTACATGATTAGTTAAGATTGTAAGAATCCTGCAGAATACGCATTGAGACACACATGCAGACACACAGACAGACTGATATACATACAGATACACATGTAGACATAGCAGAAACGACCGCACTCCAAGGACTTTGTAGAGATTTTCAAATAAAATTTAACTTTTATTCAATCCATTTAAAAAGTCAACGTTTCAGCTCCCACATGGAGCTTTCATCAGGACATGGACACACATGATACACATGCAGATATACATACAGACACATAGATACATACAAAAACAGACAGATACACAGACACACAGATAAACACATACAGACAAACAGATAAATACACAGACACACCGATATACATATGGGCAAACAGACAGATGCACAGACATACAGGTACAGATAGATATACAGATAAACAAACAGTCAAACAGATACACAGACACACAAATACACATACAGATGCACAGACATACATATATGGCTGTCCAATCACAGACTCCCAATGCATCTTAATGAGAAGTCTTTGCAAGGCAGGTGCTCTGGGCAATTGCTGCCTCTTGAGTTCAGCTCCACCGAGCTAACCAAACCAGGAAGTAAAAGGACCTGGTTGACAGCAAGGTGCTGTAACAGGGTTCATTTTTAAAAAGCAAAATCTATTGAAATCTGCACTTTTTCTATTTTGTTTTTTTTAAATAAGAGGACACACTTTTAACACATGAAGCACTTCAGCAAGCTAAAGTGCTTTAGGAGTCTAGAGTGTCCCTTCAAAGAGCCGTATCTTGCAAGACCATAAAGACTATTTCTCGATCACTGTCAAGGTAGTGGAGTCTGTGGGTATAGAGTCAGGGAGAAGATATCAACGTTTGCTTTTGGTTCGATCCGGTAGTGGTTTTAGAACATAGTAAAACTCAATAAAAGATTTATTTTTATTTACATAAATATATTTGTTTTGTTGTAATAGGATATAAATGAAGAATAGATTATATTTAGCAACGTTATCTCACAAATGCCGATAATGCTGAAAAGGTCCAACTTCCTTCTTACAAATGTAGATAAAGTATAACCTCGTCTCGTTAATATTATTGATATTGCTTTAATATATTACAATATACGTCCCTTATTCACCTCCCTATACTCTGAAACACTACATAAAATTAATTACCCTTGCATACATTTTGCCTGCAGGTTTTGGCACAAGCCATTTATCTCCAGTCCCAGCTAATGCATGGTCCACATTCCTAACTGCAGAAAGTTATGGTTCCAGGAAGTGATTTAATAGCATTCCCGGGAAACTGATCCAACGTGCTTTGATGTAACTCAATCAGTTTATAGCAGGAAGCGAGGAAGTTGCAGACCAGTGTATGAGTTTGATAAGAGATTCACAAGTTCCTTCAAACAATGTCTGAGAGAATCACAAGCCGGCACCATTTCAATCCGCGAGCTCTCTAGCAATCGATGCTTTGGATAAACATTCTTACTTTTGTCATCACTTCATTAATGATGGTTAATTAAATGCAATAATCAAAATAGATTTGTCAGCGTTGACATTTTTCTCTCCTTAAAATGATCCTACGAAGCTGACGTTAATCAGTGTTGTATTTGCCTGAGAATGTAGTTGTGTTATATACAGTTATATCAGTTGTTTGTTTTCTCGCTAGTTGCTGTTCAAGTATGGATTTAGAGGAGAGCTATTCACACCCCTCTCCCTACCGTGACCCCCTCCACTACAGAGTGACAAACTGGAGGAAAAAAAGAATTAAATGTGTAGCGGTAACAATGGCAGACAGCTCCTGTATCATGTCGCCCATTTCACTCAGTCTCTCCCATGTAATATCCCAATCCTGTATCATATTGCCCATTTCACTCAGTCTCTCCCATGTAATATCCCAATCCTGTATCTTGTCACCCATTTCACTCAGTCTCTCCCATGTAATATCCCAATCCTGTATCGTGTCGCCCATTTCACTCAGTCTCTCCATGTAATATCCCAATCCTGTATCGTATCGTCCATTTCACTCAGTTTCTCCCATGTAATATCCCAATCCTGTATCATGTCGCCCATTTCACTCAGTCTCTCCCATGTAATATCCCAATCCTGTATTGTATCGCCCATTTCACTCAGTCTCTCCCATGTAATATCCCAATCCTGTATCATGTCACCCATTTTACTCAGTCTCTCCCATGTAATATTCCAATCATGTCACCCATTTCACTCAGTCTCTCCCATGTAATATCCCAATCTTGTATCGTGTCGCCCATTTCACTCAGTCTCTCCCATGTAATATCCCAATCCTGTATTATGTCGCCCATTTCACTCAGTCTCTCCCATGTAATATCCCAATCCTGTATCATTAAGCCCATTTCACTCAGTCTCTCCCATGTAATATCCCAATCCTGTATTGTATCGCCATTCACTCAGTCTCTCCCATGTAATATCCCAATCCTGTATCATGTCACCCATTTCACTCAGTCTCTCCCATGTAATATCCCAATCCTGTATCGTGTCGCCCATTTCACTCAGTCTCTCCCATGTAATATCCCAATCCTGTATTATGTCACCCATTTCACTCAGTCTCTCCCATGTAATATCCCAATCTTGTATCATGTCGCCCATTTCACTCAGTCTCTCCCATGTAATATCCCAATCCTGTATCATGTCACCCATTTCACTCAGTCTCTCCCATGTAATATCCCAATCCTGTATCGTGTCGCCCATTTCACTCAGTCTCTCCCATGTAATATCCCAATCCTGTATCGTGTCGCCCATTTCACTCAGTCTCTCCCATGTAATATCCCAATCCTGTATCGTGTCGCCCATTTCACTCAGTCTCTCCCATGTAATATCCCAATCCTGTATCGTGTCGCCCATTTCACTCAGTCTCTTCCATGTAATATCCCAATCCTGTATCGTGTCGCCCATTTCACTCAGTCTCTCCCATGTAATATCCCAATCCTGTATCATGTCGCCCATTTCACTCAGTCTCTCCCATGTAATATCCCAATCCTGTATTGTATCGCCCATTTCACTCAGTCTCTCCCATGTAATATCCCAATCCTGTATCATGTCACCCATTTTACTCAGTCTCTCCCATGTAATATTCCAATCCTGTATCATGTCACCCATTTCACTCAGTCTCTCCCATGTAATATCCCAATCTTGTATCGTGTCGCCCATTTCACTCAGTCTCTCCCATGTAATATCCCAATCCTGTATTATGTCGCCCATTTCACTCAGTCTCTCTCATGTAATATCCCAATCCTGTATCATGTCGCCCATTTCACTCAGTCTCTCCCATGTAATATCCCAATCCTGTATTGTATCGCCCATTTCACTCAGTCTCTCCCATGTAATATCCCAATCCTGTATCATGTCACCCATTTCACTCAGTCTCTCCCATGTAATATCCCAATCCTGTATCGTGTCGCCCATTTCACTCAGTCTCTCCCATGTAATATCCCAATCCTGTATCGTGTCGCCCATTTCACTCAGTCTCTCCCATGTAATATCCCAATCCTGTATCGTGTCGCCCATTTTACTCAGTCTCTCCCATGTAATATCCCAATCCTGTATCGTGTCGCCCATTTCACTCAGTCTCTCCCATGTAATATCCCAATCCTGTATCGTGTCTCCCATTTCACTCAGTCTCTCCCATGTAATATCCCAATCCTGTATCGTGTCGCCCATTTCACTCAGTCTCTCCCATGTAATATCCCAATCCTGTATCGTGTCGCCCATTTCACTCAGTCTCTTCCATGTAATATCCCAATCCTGTATCGTGTCGCCCATTTCACTCAGTCTCTCCCATGTAATATCCCAATCCTGTATCATGTCGCCCATTTCACTCAGTCTCTCCCATATAATATCCCAATCCTGTATCGTATTGTCTATTTCCCTCAGTCTCTCTAATGTAAGATCCCAATCCTGTATCGTGTCGCCCATTTCACAAGATTGGGATATTACATGGGAGAGACTGAGTGAAATGGGCAACACGAAACAGGATTGGGATATTACATGGGAGAGACTGAGTGAAATGGGCGACA